TGAGAAGAAGAAAGAGAGGTGAAAGGAAGGGGCGGGGGGGGGGGGGGTGGTCCTAAACATAAATATGATATGATTCATATAATACAGGAAAAATTCTATATGGTGGAATTAGTTTTATTTTTATTGGTGCATTGTATTGGAAAACATCTGCCCTTTATAGCAATTGGTAATTCTTATCCTTTAAGGCAATTTTCCTATTGATATGAATTGTGGATTTAGAAGTATACTGCCTAATAAGAAATAATTCATCAGATTATTTTTAGTTTATATAGTTTTGTTGTTTAGTTCATATGTTTTGTAGAAAATGAACTTCGAGAATTAAGTTGCTGAATGGAAAATTTGGTCACCAGATTTTAAGCTTTATTATTTCAATTGTTTTTAATTATCTATCGTTTCTTTCATTATTTATAAATTTTTAATTAATTCAATATTTTAAAGTCCCTTTAAATTGGTAACTGGTAGTGTTTTAGTATAGTAACTCAGTGGAACTTCCACTTGGATTTATTGTTTAAAGGTTCCATTCCATTTTTGTTTGAAGCTTTAGAGGTTGCAAGTAAATTTACTCTTAAAGTTGTAAAATGCCTTAAGTTATTGTTTAGGATTTTATCGTACTATAAGTATGTTTAGATATTTCCAATATTTGACTGCAAAATTATCGTTCAACTTGTTGGTTTTAAAGGATTTGAAGTGGGCACTCATCCAAGGTCATGGGAAGATGTAAGATATTATATCATAGTCCCTTGATTTATTAGTGGTTGATAGTTATGTTAGAAGTTTACTATTATACCATTTAGTCAAAGGTTTACAGTGATATGCGCCATTTCTGTTGCATTAAAGCATATATTTTTTTATGAGATAATCCATAGTATACGTTAAATTAGTGTTAGACATCTTCAACTTATGGTCGGAAATGGGCATGTCTATAAATTGCAATCCAAAGGTGAAAAATGTTGCATATGTGAAGAAATGGTTGTGATAATGAGTTGAATTGTTTATTTTTTTCATTTTGTTTCAGTTATTTGTAAGCAAAAGAAGCACATGGTGAACAGTGAGCAAATGTGCTGATTCTAGTAGGCATGTTGTCTTTTGTCGAGTTGCTTCCACAGCTAATATGATACAACATTGATTATTAGAAGGTAGTCAAGCTGTTTTCTCCATAATTTGTGTTGTTTAGATTCAAGATAGTTGTTAGTGCATAGTACATTCATATTTTTTTGTCCTTATGGTAAAACACATTATTGTGCGGGTACCTTATGCCAAAGGATCTTACTAGGTTTGTCCTTATCGGTGGTTTTATCTAAATTGACATTGTTGTTCAGCTCTACATTGAATAATATTTGAGTTTTTCAGTCTTAAATTGATATTGTTCTTTTTTCTATGTTATGTATGCAACACAATTATAGATATTATTTCAAGATATGAAACATAATTAGGTAGATTTGTTATGTATATTGCTAATATAGGAACGAATGAAAGAAATATGTTATAAAACTAAGATAAATCAATATATTATTTATATATTTGTCAACGTGTCCAACGGACGGGTATGACACTAGTTGTGAACTTTATGTTGCCTTATATTAGAGTTAAAGAGAATTGTAAAGAAACTTTTAAAAATTAAAAAAAAAAGTTTTAGAAACACCGAGGGAAATTCAACAATTGTAAAAAAAAAATGATAGTTCAATCAAATTTGTTAAAGATGAGGACCAAATTTGTAAAGCTAATTGAAATTGGGTCAAAATTGTAACACCAAATGAAAAGTTGGAAGTTGTGGACTTGTGGTTGGGGTGAGTATGGGCCAGGTTGGGCTGGTTTTGAGCTAAAACCGAACCCCAAACCGAATTGTGGGTTTTCAGAAAACTAGAACCCAACCCAACCCAAAACCGATGGGTTCAGTTTCTCGTTTTTCTCAATTTTATTGGATCAGTTTCGGGTTTAAACCCAAACCTAACTTTGAGAGAATTGTCAAGTTGATGTTGCCTTATTTAAGCGTTAAAGAGGATTATAAAGGAACTTTTAAAAATATAAAAAAAAAATTAAGTTTTAGAAATGCCAAGGGAAATTCTAAATTTGTAATAAAAAAAATTAATAGTTGCATCAAATTTGTTAAAGATGAGGACGGAAATTGTAAAGCTAATTGAAATTGGGTCAAAATTGTAACACCAAATGGAAAGTTCAAAGTTGTGGGCTTGTGGTATAGGTGAGCATGGGCCGGGTTGTATTAGTTTTGAACAAAACCGGATTGTCGGTTTTTAGAAACAAGAACCCAACCCAACCCAAAACAGATGTGTTTGGTTTCTCGGTTTTTCCAGTTTTATTGGATCGGTTTTGGGTTTAAACCAAACCCTTTCCAAACCTAACTTTGAAAGAATTGTCAACTTGATGTAGCCTTATATTACAGTTAAAGAGAATTGTAAGGAACTTTTAATAGTATAAAAAAAATAAAGTTATAGAAACACCGATGGAAATTCAAAATTTGTAAAAAAAAATAAAAAAAAATTGGTAGTTGCCTCAAATTTGTTAAAGATGAGGACCAAATTTGTAATGCTAATTGAAATTTGGTCAAAATTGTAACACCAAATGGAAAGTTGGAAGTTGTGGGCTTGTGGTATGGGTGAACATGGGCTGGGTTTGATCGGTTTTGAGCTAAAACCGAACCCAAAATCGAATTGCCGGTTTTCAAAATACTAGAACCTAACCCATCGTAAAAACCGATAGGTTTGGTTTCTCGGGTTTTTCGGTTTTATTAGATCGGTTTCGGGTTTCAACCCAAACCTATTCGAAGCCTAACTTTGTGAGAATTGTCAACTTGATGCCTTATATTAGAGTTAAAGAGAATTGTAAATGATCTTTTAAAAATATATAAAAAAAAAGTTTTAGAAACAGCGAGAGAAATTCAAAATTTGTAAAAAAAAATTTGATAGTTACATCAAATTTGTTAAAGGTAAGGACCAAATTTGTGAAGCTAATTGAAATTAGGCCAAAATTGTTACACCAAATGGAAAGTTGGAAGTTGTAGGCTTGTGGTATGGGTGATGGATTGGATCGGTTTTGAGCTAAAAACCGAACTCAAAACCGAATTGTTGGTTTTCAGAAAACTAGAACACAACCCAAAACCAATAGGTTTAGTTTCTTGGTTTTATTGGGTTTAAACTCAAACCCATTCCAAACCTGACCTTGAGAGAATTGTCAACTTCATGTTGCATTATATTAGAGTTAAAGAGGATGTAAGTTTCATATGAGGACCGATGTGGGACAGATTCCAACCGAACAAAATAGAAGGATACTTATCATACATGACTTTACAACCTAGGTGGGATAACTGAAGCTTCAAGCGCCACAACCAATGGACTATGCTATGATTTTGTTTATAAATCATGAAAACATAAATGTATACATGTAATTACAGAATTAACACATACATATAAAAAACGATGGGAGCAATACTCGAAGACGACGCCTCTGCTAGGCTAATGTTATTGCTCGGAACCAGATGAACTACAAGAATTTTGTGATATAAATTTGCAATA